GAACGAAGAAGAAAACGAAAGTAAGACCGTTCTTGCATAAATTGAGAAGCACTGTTGATGAAATAACTGACTAACCCGAGGGTGCACATCAAACTTGGAACCCCTGTAATATCTCCTTGACCTTTGACCTCGTCTTGTTTCTTTCTCACGGCCTGCTAGCTCTTTGACCGTCGCCCCGTGAGTACCCCCGTGGGTCACGTGCTGTCTCTGTGGGGTCACGTGTCTCGGGTGTGGGGAGGTCACGTGATGGGACTGTGGGGGTCACGTGATGGGACTGTGGGGGTCGCCAGATTGTGTTGTGGGGTCACGTGATGGGGGGTAGATTACACCCGTCAAATGGCGCGGGGTGACACTGAAGAGAATGTCAGTTGTAGCCGCCCTCCACTCCCCCGGGGGTAGGGGTTGTTGGTGCGCCGATGATTAGAAAGATGGCGCGCTCATGGTGTCACGTAGGATCTCACCCACACGCAGATGTTGATGTCGTACTAAGGGGGTTATGCGAGATCTAGGTCTATTAGGACGGTATAGATTTGCTGTTGGAAGTACCGGAGTTCGCTCAGATCTATCTGGTACCTGGCTTAAATCATAGTTTACAGGGGTCTGACCAGCTCTATTTGGTACCTGGCTTAGATCTGTTTTTTCGTTGTACCGGAGCTAGCTCAGCTCTATTTGGTACGTGGTTTGGGTCAGCTCTTTGTTTTACCGGAACTAATTAAGCTAAGGGCTGGTAAGTAGGTCATCAACCAGTTCTCCGGCTCAATAAAACCTGCATGAGCCCGTATAACTGGTTGGTGATCTACTTACCAGCCCTATAGGGTACCTGACTTAAGTCTATTGTTCCTTGTACCAACTGCATTTCCTTAAGATACCTGGCTTAGGTATGTTGTTCGTTGTACCGGGGCTAGCTCAGCTCTATTTGGTACCTGGTTAGATCAGCTGTTTGTTTTACCGGAGCTAATTCAGCTCTTTGGGGTACCTTACTGCCGTCCTTACCTTCCGTTACTACCATGACTGCAATACCTTTTGGGCACTACGCACATGACTGCAATTCTCTGAGTACACAAGACACCTGACTTCAATTTTCTCCTTACCTGACTTAAGTCTATATGACGTATATCCGCTCACCTAACCCTGATGGGTGCCTCTCTCTCGTCTTTCTTGGAGAGAGGAGATTCTTGGACTTTCTACGTGTAGTTCCTTTATACACTGTCGTTACACAACTGACAAAATTTACCATCTCCCCCCCCCTTCCTCCATGGGACGGAATGGTCTAGCGGTAGAGAGCTGGACTGTTAACCCGTAAGTCTCGAGTTCGAATCCGGGTTCAAGTCAGTTGACCGTCCCTGAGTTCACCCAACTCTGATAGGTGCTTAACTCACGTTAGGGAAAGTAAAGGCGGCTGGCATAGTGCTGACCACACTATCTCTTCAAATGCCGATGTCACAGAAAACAAGTGAACTCTACTTCACTTGCCCTATAGACCGTCAGGTTTGAAGAGGGAACTACTTTTACCCCCCCCCCCCCCATTCCCAGACATAGGAATACTGAACCGTCATATTCTTAATTAATATTTCACTCGGCTCTGCTCAGCAGTTTAAAAAAACACGATTATATTCTACGTTTTTAAATCCGCATTGAAGAAACTAACAAAAATGAAAATATTGAGAAAGTGGTCTGACATTTTAAAAATCGGACATTTCAATGCATTATCAGGAAAGTTTGCCATGGCGAAATGACATAGCCTTATAATGTTCTTTTTGTGCTCTAACCTTTGAATAATGCTGAATTCAATAAAATAAAATGACGAGAATAAATGCTGTTTTTTTTAATCGAAAAACAAAAACAGCTGACATTCAATATTCTCCAGGGCTAGTGATGAGTTTTCGCATCATATTTCGTGATTTTGCTACTTTAAAAAGTTGATCATATTTCTGATTTTGCTACTTTAAAAAGTTGATCATATTTCTGATTTTGCTACTTTAAAAAGTTGATCATATTTCTGATTTTGCTACTTTAAAAAGTTGATCATATTCTGATTTTGCTAGTTTAAAAAGTTGATCATATTTCTGATTTAGCTGGCGTAAAAAAGATAATCATATTTCAAATTTAGCTGAAGTAAAGTTGATCATATTTCACATTTAGCTGGTGTAAAGAGTTGATTATATTTCTGATTTAGCTGGGATAAAAAGTTGATATTTATGATTTAGTTGGGATTAAAAAAGGTGATATTTATGATTTAGTTGGGATAAAAAGTTGATTATATTTCTGATTTAGCTGTGGAATAAAGTTGATAATATTCTGATTATATGGGGTAAAAAGTTGATCATATTTCTGATTTTGTGTTAGTGTGCACGTGAGACAGACTTTATGGTGTATCTTTTGAAGCAGTTTTCAAGCAATTATAGGGACCCTTGACTGACAATAATGACAAAACAGTCTCTCTACTAAACTAATATATCAAACTTTTTTTTTTTGTTAAAATCTTTCGATGTATAATGACAACATAACCATGTATTAAATACTACCCCCCTCCCAAAAAAAAATAGATATATCCACACGCCCCACCGAGACACACCCTATGCTGACCGTGACACATTTCACCATCAACCCCAGCCCCACCCATTCCATTCCCCAGTCCAAACACATATGTCGTCTAGACGTCTCACAGACGCCGGCGTTGCTATGTTCAGTCACCGAAGATCTAATCAACAAGCGAGGTATGCCCCAGTTCCCTCCCCCTGATTGGAACGTTCGTAAAGGGGACTTACTATAACAATTCTGTGTGACGGATGAATTGATGTGTGGGGGAATTATGGGAGATCAAAAGGAAAATGAAGCCGAATTTGGGAGATGAAAATGAAAATAAGTCCCGCGTATGAGTACGTGTTGGTGTGTGGCTGTGTCGAGTTTGAAACGTGTTGTTGCGCGCGGTGTGGGATGTGGTGGTGGTGGTGATGTATATGTAAAGGTGGTCAAGAGTAGTGCATGTCTCGACCCTCCACCCCGTGAACATGAACAAAATTTACTTTTATCAGTGTCCGCTATCCCCACCCCCCCCCACCATCCAGAAAATTTTGTCCCCGTCCCCCAATCCAAGAAAACTCTGTCCATCCCCCCCCCCTCAAGAAAAAGAGTCTGAAAGAAACACTGTTTAATCCTCCCAGAGGCGTAGCGACCCTTCCCCGGCGCCCGGGGACAAACTTTTCGATTTGCACACCCCCTCAAGATTTCGATTTGCACCCCCCTCAACCATTCAATGTATTTTTCCAACCCATTTTGGCGCCCCCTAAGGTCGGCGCCCCGGGTACATATGCCCCCCCCCCCCTCGCTACGCTACTGCATCCTCCTCTGACCTCCACAATTTCAACGGTCTGTCGTATGTGCCCAGTTACACTATATCTGAACCTTCTTACCGTTGAGAAATATTATTCTCTCTCCACCCCAACCTTATAGGATATCCAGCGTACCAGTTCATGTGATTCTCGACAGCTTTAAAACTAAGATTCTAATTAATTACGAAACGAAAATATGTAAACCAAAATGTGACACGGGGCTTCAATGCGGAATTTGCGGTAGTGTAATTTTTACTGGACGTGATCGGGAAATCCTGCAAAACGCTGATTCTTTCCTCCCCCCCCCCCCCCCGCCCCACTCATTGATAATCTCTGTCGATCCTTCGTCAATCTCTACGTCATGGCGAGAATGTCACGTGTTGGGGTTGCAGAGGGCGACCACCACTAGTCACATTAAATCTTTTTTTTTTTTTTTTTTGTAATTATATATATATATTTTTCTTTTTACTTTCTCGCATGCGAATGTATAGAGGAAGTATTGTATTCGTCAAAATCTCGTCGTTTTATACCTCCCTGAGTCGGAAAAAAAACAGTTTTGCCAATTTTGTCTGTATGTCTGTGTGTGTGTCTGTGAGTGTATATATGTGTGTGTGTATGTGTGTGTGCCTGTGAATACGATAACTTGAGTACTGTTACAGCTAAGTTGATGAAATTTCATATATAAGTATTATATAAAATTTGTAGTTATGTATCAACTTTTCAGCAATTTCCGGAAAACGGAACTGAAACTTATTCTACTGTTGGTTTTTCAAAGCCTATAACTTGAGTACTGTTTCAAATTGGTGAACGAAATTTTACATATAAGTAAAAGATCTAATTCTTCGGCCTTCTAACGAATTTCGAATAATTTCCGTTGACCAAAAGGTTCAGAAGTTCCATCCGCCCCCCGGAGTAAAAAATTTGAAAGAATCACCGGCTCTTATGTTAACTAGCCGTGTGTTAAATGTTCATGTAAACTTTACGTGTAAACTTGTTTTAAACAATCACCACACGCAAATCTTATGGTTTTATTTTATGTCGCACCGTTTTTGGGGCTGTTTTACCACTATAGCTCTTTATATTTATTTTATTTCATTAATCCTACTGTTAATTATTAATTACTGGAGACTGAATTAAGTGTTTATTTAAACTGGGGGAAATTCATTTTATTGATTCATCTGATCACACTACTTTGATTTACTGTTAAACCTACTTCTATATATTACTGTTAAAACCCATTGTTTGTTTCACTGATTTAAACCTTCTGTGTATTACTGTTAAGCTTACTATTTGTTTGACTATCAAACCTACTACTATATATAACTGTTAAACCTATTATTGTTAAAATTACTGTTATATGTTACTATTAAACCTACTATTTGTTACTGTTAAACCTACTGCTATATATTACTGTTAAACCTACTGCTATATATTACTGTTAAAACCTACTGTTTGTATTACTGTTAAACCTACTGTCATGTATTACTGTTACACCTGAACTACTGTTAACCTAGGAACAACTGTTAAACCCATGAACTACTGTTTGGTTAATGAACTACTGTTTAACCAATGAACTACTGTTTAACCCATGAACTTCTGTTACACCTTTGAACTACTGTTTAACCCATGAACTACTGTTTAACCCATGAACTGTGTTCACCCTCTCAGGTATTGACTGTCAGGTGGGTGAGTGGGAGGACTGGACCCCGTGCGACAACCCCTGCGGCTACGGCACCCGCAAGAGGAAGCGTGACGTCACCCAGTACCCCGACAACGGCGGAAGTCACTGCCCAGTGCTCAAGCAGCGACGCGCATGCGTAGGGTTCGAGGCCGAGGTGTGTCGGGAAAACCTGGTCGACGAGCAGAAAGGAGGAGAAGGCTGGTAAGTCTGGGGGGGGGGGGGAGGTTTGTGAAGGGAGGGGTGTGGTGAGTGGTGGGGTTTGTGAAGGGGGTGTGGAGAGGTTTGTGAGAGGGTTTTGTGTGGAGGCAGGGTGTGAAGGGGTTTGTGAGATTGTGTGTGTGGTGTTTGGGGGGGGGGGTGTCGAGGGGTGAGTTGTTGAGGGTGTGTGGAGGGGTGTTTGCGAGATGGGCTTTTGTGGGGGGGAGGTGTGGAGGGGTTTGTGAGGAGGGTATGGAGAGCTTAGTGAGAGGGAGGGTGTGTGGAGGGGTTTGTAAGGGGGAGGGTGGAAGGGTTTCTTGTGAGGGAGGGTGGCTGTAAATGTTATAGCGGTGGTGGGGGAGGGGGGGGGCTGGAGTTTGACTGGAAGACATCATTGGATATGTTAAAGTACATATGTGAATGAGTATAGGGGGGGGGCGATGGGTTTATGTAAGTTCTGGAGAGGTAGGTGAATGAGGGGGGGGGGGGTGGATTGCGTGAGACGAGGAAAGGTTTTATGGGCCCGGGTCTTCCGGTCTGGGCTAGTTTGAGGTAATGTATCGGTAATTTTTTTTGTAATTAGCTGAGAATGGTTTTATCTCGGTGATATGGTCTAGTCAGATTATGGTCCATTATCTCGGTGATATGGTCTAGTCAGATTATGGTCCAATTATTCTCTGGTAATGGACTCACCGGTGGTCCGCCTGTTCGGTAACTAAACGACCCGCGACGCCATTAAAGGTGGACAATGGACAACATTAGGGTTGGAAAAAAATTAAGTTACAAGATTTCCCACAAACCCACAGACAAACAAACGGACGTTGCGAATTTAATAAAAGCTTGAAAAAATGTTTGTAATAAGGTAAAGGGGAGAGCATCGGGTCCAGGTATTTAAAAACTTGACAGTAACTCATCTTGACGCTTAGAATATTTGACCATTTCAAAACCTTACACGCTATGTATTTTTACAAATTTTTACATTGCAAAAATTGATACCAATAATATTGATATTTACAAAAATCTTGACACCTATGAATCTTGACATTTACAAAATTTACTCATAAAAGAAATCTGATAAAATAAAAAAATAAATAAAAATCTTGATGGCTGACGTTTGAAAATTTTTTTTCCCTGCAAATATTTCTTCAACCGGGCTCAAGATTCTAGAAAAGTTTACAAAGGGGTAATTTCTTAGTCATCTCGCGAATAAACCGGGATTAAAATGGATCCTATAAAACTCGCAGTGGGTCGCGATACCCATGTATGAATGTAACCCGAGACCCCCCTAGACGGTGTGGAGGGAGGGGGGAGGGCGCAATCACCAATTTTATACCTTCATTATGTGGTTCTACGTTTTATAGCCGCATCGAATCACTCTTAGAGAGCAGTGAAGAAATTTGGAGCGGAGATTTTTTTTTTTTAAAGTCGACGGACGTGACCGAAACTTGGCGTCTGCTCTTAGCGTCGGTAGAACGGAAGTTGTCGTCGAATCAATGATTTGATATGAGTGGTAATGTGTTTGTAAGCCTGCCGTTGTATCCCGCGATGGCATTTTTTAATGGCAATGTAAGATCCGGTTCCTAGGTTTAGAAGGAGCATGTCGGTGTTTTCTTTCTTTCATTGATAACTCGGGATTTAGTATGTACTTTTTTTAAAAAGTTAACGAAGCGAGATTTGGTTGAAGTGGTCTAATCAAGCGGTAGTTGTTTTCATTACAAATGGAAGTCAATTAGAAAAAGAGAGCTTGAGTAGAAATAGATAGAACCAGAGTCATAATTTAGAAGGCTGGAGTCATAATTGAAAATATTGGAGTCAGAATTTAGAAGGCTGGAGTCATAATTGAAAATGTTGGAGTCAGAATTTAGAAGGATGGAGTCATAATTAAGAGGATGTGGCATCGTATTTGAAACGGATGGGGTCATGTTTGAAAAATCAAGAAACCGGATACGGGCTTTGACGAAAAAAAAAAAAAAAAACTAAAACAAGACAAGCGCAACTATCTGTTTAGACAGTTGGCCATAAAGACAGGGCCTCACAGAAAGCAGACTCCCCCCCACACACACACACAAATATACACACATACACTAGCACTTAAAGCAGAGCTCCGCCCCGTCCCCCCCCCCCTAACCTACCTAATGGTCGTTAAATCCACATGTGCAAAGTGCTCTAGGATTACCACCACTGGTCAACACACCGCCTGAGATCATACCATAATCCCTACCAGAGTCTACCACCCCACACACCCCCACCCCGCCAACCGTTTAATTAAGCAGCTAATCTTCTGCCCAGACCGAGGCTTACAAGAGTGACAGAGTGGAACTCACGTGGGAGTCTTGTGCAATGCCGAGGTCATCTCCCCGAATCACTTCCGGCCGCCATTTTTAATTATTCAAACACTTGGTTACGTATCTATCACCGTCCTAGACCAAGTGGGCTGGATACGATGCTTATTAAAACGTCGAGAGGGCGTATTCGGATATATGTATTTTAGTATCGCTACCTTGACACCGGCCCTGGCTCCCAGTATCTTCCCATAAGCCGAATTACTAATACCATCTCTAACACTGACCATACATCTAATCTTGATATTAACCCTAAACCCAATCCTACCAGCGATACCGGAAGAGAAATTACTCGATACGATACTGTACTCTAATACCAGCGTTTTTAAATCAGTATCGATACTCTTTTGTTCGGTGTTCTTTTTTTGGGTGATTGTGACTGAACACCTCGCCAATGAGACGGTCACCCTGCTAGCCCCCCACCCCCCCCCCCCTCCACCCCTCCCTTCTGTGGGCGGCCGCCTACAAGAACGGAAGTGGTATCGGGTGAAAGTCTTTGACCCACGTCTTTGTCCGCCGTGAGAGTCGTTATGTCGTGCTGATTAGGCCTCTGCGACCCCCCGGGATTTGGGATTATTAGACAGATGGGGGGGGGGGTGATAGGGGAGTGATTTAATTTGGGGTGCTTCTCTTTTTTTGTGTGTGGTGGAATGGGTATTTGTTTTGGGCGGAATACGAATTGTTATCGGGTGTTTTTTTTTTAGAGTTTAACTAATCATGACAGCTAACCCGAAAGAGTCGAGTTCGGATCCCCGGGTTCTTAGCATAGTCCCTAGTTAACCCAACTCTGATAAGTACCTGGTCATTACATAATGCTGACCACACTATCCATTCATATGAACTCTTCTCCATCTATCCAATGGATATTCCCTAGTTAACCTAACTCTGGTGGGTACCTGGTCATAACATAATGCTGACCACACTATCCATTCATATGAACTCTTCTCCATCTATCCAATGGATATTCCCTAGTTAACCTAACTCTGGTGGGTACCTGGTCATAACATAATGCTGCCCACACTATCCATTCATAAGAACTCTTCTCCATCTATCCAATGGATATTCCCTAGTTAACCTAACTCTGATGGGTACCTGGTCATAACATAATTCTGACCACACTATCCATTCATATGAACTCTTCTCCATCTATCCAATGGATATTCCCTAGTTAACCTAACTCTGGTGGGTACCTGGTCATAACATAATGCTGCCCACACTATCCATTCATAAGAACTCTTCTCCATCTATCCAATGGATATTCCCTAGTTAACCCAACTCTGATGGGTACCTGGTCATAACATAATGCTGACCACACTATTTATTCATCTTCTTCATCTGCCCAATTGATCGCATGTATAGTCAATTTACAAGTTTAAAAAAAAAAACAGCTCCTCCTGAAAAATAAAATTACCAACATCCGCGTTACAAATTGTGAGATGGTGACCGGAGTTACCAGGAGAAAGTACTACCTCCAACACCTCTACTTCCCTCACCCCACCCTCACTCCCCCCTCCCCCTCAACCATACCTCCCCACCTCTACCCACTGACACTCGTGAAGGTGTTATACCACGTTTATCTCTACCGATCACATTTAATTTTAGATAAATAACACTTTTCTTCCTTATCTCCTCTGTCCCCACCCTCTCCACTCAAAATCCGTGGGAGCGAACATCCTCAGACACCCGTTAAAAATATTTCAAGTACACTAAATATTATTAAATTTACAAGCTTATTCTATTCGTACGGTAACCGTTTATTTTAACGATGTAGTTCTAATTTTAACACGGCGTTCATAGAATAGAATCTAGGGCGCTAATTGTCAATATTTTTTTAGAATATTGAAATAGGTCAGGAATGTATTATATATTTTTTCATTCCTGTTTGAAGATTATAAAACACACGGCGGAATTTTATTTTGACATGTTCCGGCACGGAAATAGCTACGTAATCGTAAAACGCGAATCTCTGATTTCACAGCGTTATCCGGCGCCTGGGTAAACTTGCGGTGAAACCGGTTGGGAAATGTGATCGGTTACTTTCGCCTGCACCTCGGGTGTTTATCTTGCGGTGTCGCATCAATATTTGCTGCCCGTGTTGATTTATCCCACCGAAAACCGCTGCCCTCGGCCGGATTTAAAAATACGATCGTATAGGATTTTCTTTTTGATTATGAACAACTTGGATCTTTAAGACGGGTACCGATGAACCAATCGGGAATAGACCATAGCTGTGTGTAAAACTACTTAATCCCCCCCCCCCCTCTCCTTTTCCACAACCCTATGACTTCTCAAGTACCGAAACTCTAAAAAAAAAATTTGCTCATAATGTATAGAGTTGTCTTTTGAAAGTACAGGATAATTAATGTTCAGCTTTGTGTACTGCACGTTGAATCATACATATTTTTTATCGTCAGGAAAATTAATGTCTTTATTTTTTGTATTATTTTTAGTGTTAATTATACAACGAGAAGGAAATGTCGAAACATCGTAGATATTTGTTTTATTTCTCGAAGGTGTCAGCATAGTTCAGTATTTTAAGTTGGTATATTTTTAACATTGGTTGCATTGGGCAAAAATTTACCACACTGTCTCTGCACATGCTGAGGTCACCGCAACATGTGAACTCTACCTCCAAAAGGTTGACATTTTATTTTAATTTAA